AGTAGCAGTATAACCTGACTTTACCTTTAACCATTAGTGATATTTGGAGGGTATCTGCTGCTGTGCTGGCTCTCCAGTATCACAGATAAATTAGGCTGTTACACTTTTGTTTCCTTTGTTCATCTTATGGACGTGTCAGTCAGTCTAAACCCGTCCCAGAGTGCTGGCAAGCAGTCTGACAACGTACCCACTGGCAGAGCAACCCCTTGCAGTTTCCTAGGAAACACGGCCGCCGAAATGCCCTGTGAAGAGCAGCAGGAAGAATAAAAGGAATGAAGATGAAGACAGTTGCTTTGGGATTTTTTTTCCCCTAGTTCCTCACTCTTCCAAACAATATCAAATATGTAAGCAATCGACCACAAGTAATAGTGTCAATGTGGTAATCAGGTTGTCTGTTCTAACGTGCCTACAATAGTTATGTGCTAATCACTGAAGAAATAAATCAAGAATGGCATTATCTGTCTTTATGGATTAGAGTCTAAATTTTATTTCTTGCTTTTCATGTCAGTGATTTTTCAGCTTTTGATAATGTCTGCAGGTGCTGTTGGAGTCCTGTGGTCCACTATGAGACTAACACAGCAAAGCTACGAGGAAGTCATACACATATTTCTCAGTTGAGGAAAGCCATCACTCCTCCTAAGGTGGAAGAAGAAAAGGTGAAAATGTTTTTCACCCACATCTTCTCAATGTCCACCTTTCTTCAAATCCTATAAATTACGTTCTGGAATGGCAGGGGTTGAGTCTGTTGCTTACTGAAATGTCTGCAGCAATAAAGGATTCTAATAAGGAAACAGCCAGGGCTTTATTATTTGTATTATCACTATTGCACAGTGCAGATAGCTTATTTCTACTGCAACTTCATCGGCTTCAGGGGGGAACGGACCAGGAAAAACTCGTCACATTATTTTGTTCCTTCCAGATTCTTCTATGGCTCTCATCATACTAGGGCTCGCATTGATCCTACATGACATATTCATTGCTGTGAATAAAGCTTCTTAGGTAGTTTTGGGATTGTTTTGCCATTTCTTTTTTAGCAGAAAGTGGGGAGCTTTATGGTGATGTGTTCTTATGAAAAATAGTTTCAGTAGCTGTAGAGGGAGCCTTCCTTTTCACATAAATGATGATAGGTTTAGTAGTCTTAGGTGGTCCTATCTTGCTTCAGTACTCTGATTTAAAGTGCTGGTCTTCAGAAAACCTGGGGATATAAGAATGGGTAAAAATCCAGCGAAACCTGGCACTAACCCCTTGATGCTATTATACCTATAATAGCGCTATTATGCTATATATGGCTTGAATTCAGAAACGCATTTGTTAAAAATTGCCTATAGGTTCTTTGTATTCTTTAGCCAAATTAGAGAATGGAACTTCCCCCCCCCCCCCCCCCCCCCCCCCCCCCCCCCCC